CAACGAAAAAGGGAGGTGCACAACTACATGTTATAGCAGTCCCATGCTCAAAATTACAAGATTCTGAGGCTACTCGTTTTTGAGTTATCTCCCATAACTCACATGCATACAGAAGTCACGGAAAAAACTCTTCTGAATCCATTTTACAATCTGTTTTGAGAAAATGAGTCCTTTATTATGTCCGTACGTACAAATGTCAGGTTAAAACATCACTCAAATCGATTCAAGACCGATCAAAATGGATATTTCCGTGATTCCATACAGTACAAAGTCCGTAATCCGGACTCGTCGGGACTTCGGCGATTCCGGATTAAGAGTTTTTGCGTATTGTAGATCATCAATTTAAATATGGTAAGATGGCATGCAGAAATTATACAATTAAAAATATGAAATCGTAATTTCTGAAATAAAGAGCAATTATGATCTAAAGGGTATCGAAATTTACAAAAAAAAAAAAAAAAAAAAAAAAAAAAAAAAAAAAGGGGGGGGGCTTAATATTTATTTGTTTACTTTATTAAACATTTCTTTCAATGTAAGTTGTTTAATTTGTTTCGTTTTTTTGTGCTAAACGCGCGTTTCATAAATTACGGTTTCATATTTTTAGTTATATAATTTCTGCATGCCATCTTACCAGATTTAAATTGATGATCTATAATCCGGAAAAACCCCTAATTCGGAATCCCCGAAGTCCCGACGAGTCCGTATTACGGTCTGTGTACTGTATAAAGTTTTAATTGAATTCGAAGTAATCAGTATAAATTATTAAATTCATTTAATTTCATTTTTGAAATGATTTTTAATTCTTGAATACAAAAAACTGCCTGGTTTGACTTACTTTGTGTATACCCACAGCAAAATAGACCTTTCTTAAACTCTATGCTTAAATGCGATGAATACAATTTGTATAGGTGAAATATGTATTATTGTACTTGTAAACTACAGTAAATTCTTTCTGAGAGAGTAAATTACTGTTGTAATTGATTTTGGTCTGCTGTTAATGTCACTGTCATAGAGAAAAGATTTTTTCTTATGTTCTTTGACATCTCGTGACTTCACCTCTGACATCACATCTAAAGCTGGTCACCACTAGAAGATTCGCTGTATATTAAATGTTTGAAATTTAAATGATATATATGATATTGTATATAAATGGTGAGTCATAGGATCTGCTTGTGTATGAGTTATAGGTTCTAAAAATTTAATGTAATTTAGAAATAACGTTTTTTAATTTTTATTGGTTAGAAGATATTTCTCCCACGTTCTTGACATGCCTTCGTGATGTGGTGGTCTGCACGCTGGGCACGTATTCCAGAGGTCAGCGGTTCGATTCCCGGCAAAGGCGTTGATAATTTTTCATCTTGACTGCTTCAAAAAAAAAAAAAAAAAAAAAAAAAAAAAAAAAAAAAACCTAATGTCTCTACAACACAAAAGAATGCAATTAGAAAAGGATATTAAAAAAGTCTGGAAACTTTCAGATTTTATATTAAGCCCAAAAGGGCGATTCTTCAACGTTTTGTGTCTTACCTTTATTTATTAAATTTCATGATCTTTGCATTTAAACTATAAAATTCAATTCAACAGCAATATCGCAAAATAGTTTTAATGTGAGCATATCTTTAGAATTTCCGATACGGAGACTCGCCTGCTGGAGATAAAAATGTTTCTTCTGTACAATGTTGCCATTGCTCGCTTTGAAATTGTTGAGTTTGTTTATCAAAAATTTGTTAAAGTTTAAAAAAATATGAAATAGATAATAAAAGAAATTGGACATTCAAATTTGGGCTTCCACATGCCTATATTCAAGTGGAGGACTACGTTATTCAAAATTTGATGTCTCTAGGTACCGTTGTTTTATCACAATGCGAGAAACATACATACAATTCATGCAGATTCTTCATTATTGAATTCTTTCAAATATAATGCAGGGCTCTAATATTTGTTGCTAATAATTTGAAAAGTGAAACACCGTTTTATAGTGAACGACACAAAATGGCAAAACGAAATTAATAGCTCTTCTCGGCAAATTGCCCCTTTGGTCTAATAAAATGCTTAAAATAAATATTCCTTTCAGTTAGCGTTAAAATATGATTAAGATGTAATGTTCCAACCTAGAATTTACAGCTAAACGTCTGGCACCTTGAACTCGTATGCGAATAATCGCTTTAGTTCAGGAGACAGAAACTCAAGAAGGGTTGATTACGCCTTATTGTTCGGAATAAAGTTCACAGGTGGTCCTCTCTCAGGACGTACAGAAAACTCCTACTTGGGCTTGAACTCAAGAATACTAAAATAAAACTTAATTAAACTAAAAAGATGTAGCCGAAGCTATCAAAATTCTACAGGAGTTGACCCCTTAACGCTAACTAAACGGCGAAGCTATCAAGGGCCTGAAATACGGCCCAGCGTAGAAATAGCGGTGTCTTCCTTTTTCCGTGATTCCTATTTCCGCGGTTGTCAAAAACGTTCCTGTTTCAACGAAATCATAAATCTTCATTACCTCCCTTCCCAAAAGGGTTACATAGTGGGAGGCCGAGTGAACCTTGGCCTCTCCCGAAATGTAGAAAGGCAAAAAATTTTTAGATTTAAAAAGAATTTTTAAAAGAAATAATCGAAAAAAATATTTACGATCTCAGATTTGCATGAATAAAGTTAATAATGTATTTAAAAGAAGAGATAGAAAGATGTTCAAACTCTGCGATGATTTTAGCAACGAACTAAAAGATTGTTTCCTAAAGTAAAAAACAATATTCTTCCAAAATTCTGCATAAAGGTGAGTTATAATAAAATCTTTTAGAATAAATATTTGTTCTAAAACTACGTTCTTTCTACGACTTCTTTGGTCTTAATTTCGTTTTTTGCAGCTTTTAATTCTTTCATTTATGCAAATCCAATAAATACATTTTCCTTATTTTTATTCTGAATTCGATTCTGACAACCTTTACAAAGGGCTAAAGGTTTTTTTTAGTTCCAATAATGTCTAAAACATCCATATTGATTAACATAAGATGCGAAAATAACAGCTAATATTGTAGCAGAATTACAAATGGAATTAAACTAAAGATTTCAAGAGGAGCCTAAACTAATACACGCCTTCAATCTAACGGAGACTAAGGTCACAATCACATTATGTTTCAGCTACTCGGGACTGGACGTCGAAAGGGACAATTCTCAGAACCCGCACATTTCCAGGAAACCCACGTAGCTAGGTTACCATTTTCACTTACTACAAAGACTTGAACGCCAAACAGTAATCGATTATCGCTCAGATTGGGATCACGTGGTCCTTCGGAAGCAGAACTTTCGTCTGATTGGTTGACTCTACCCGGGACGCGTAATGGCAAACCGCACATTGAGTTGATCAATGTTAACGAATTTCGTTTACTGCGCGTGCTCAGTGTACCGTTGGCATGGCAGAAAATACTGGCGACTAAGCATAAGCAACCATTTCACAAGCCTGTTCATCATGCAGGTCTTATCGACTATTTCCAATTACAATACAGCCGATATTTATTTGTGCTTAATGCATTTGCTTCTGTTTCATTTCATTTTGTTCATAAACGCTATATTTAATATCAGTTATTTATAATAATTTTCTTGACTTTAATTCAGTAATTTAAACTGGATTCATTCTTTAATTTTTTAAAGTATATACAAATGGAACATATAGTTATTTACCATACGCAATTGCTTTTATTCCTCGCATGTATATTCAATAAAGGTTCAGATAATATATCCTGTGATGTTTTCTGTTTTGTAATCATTCTTAAACAAAAATTTGAGTAGTTTACAGTTGAAAGTTACCCTCTAAGTAATAAACGAACTTATAACTTAACAAATTTTAAAACCCCGAACTGTTTCCGCCCAGATAACAGAATATCAATCAACCACATACCTTATTTATCTTCTTTTAAAATTGTAAGTCGTAATTACGCCAAATTCTCTTCTGGACATGCGCAGTATGCGAAATTCGTTTAACATTGATCAACTGAATGTGCAGTTTGCCATTACGCACCCGGGACAGAGTTCCAGCCGAGACATTTTCGGTGAGGTTTGAAAAGATCCCGCGTAACCGCAACATCGTTTCTGCCTTTTGCTTCCCGCGGGGGTCTTTTTTTCTAGGAATTCTTCCGTTTAAACCAGTGCTACCAGAATCTCGTCTCTCAGAAAAGTCCCGTCTAGCAGGGACTGTGGATAGAAGTGATAACCCGTAACTTATTCACAAAGAAAATGCTCCGCTCTTCTTAATGACTCATCGTGATATCTTCTGTGGAGCTGTGGGAGAGGATCTGTAATCTCCGATTTCGCGGAAACTGGATGAATTTTGAAAAAAGCGGAAAGAGAAATTGCGGAAACAGAACTTATTCGAAATAGCTTAGAGAGAGAGTGTAGCCAAAAGGCGAACGCGCGTTGGTCAGAATATATGGCTCCCTAACGAAGTCAGTGGAACTTCGAGTTTAATATTCGACTTCATTTGCATTTAACAGCGATACTAAAAACACATTCTGGCAGGAAACTTGTAAGCTGAAATTAGAAGCGACAGGTTTAGTGGCTTTAACTAGGATAAACCTTACAAAGAAAATGAAAACGGAAATTAAATGCGGAAGATTTCGTTGCTTTTTCCTGGAAGGGGGGAGGGGCGCAGCATTAAACGGTTTGATCACTTTGCATAGATTAGGTAACGAAATTCCTATTTTATCTCTAACCGTATCAATTTATCAATATCTATGAAGATATATTTTGGTAACGTTCGCCGTCGTGTGATATCTAAATACAATAATCTACGTTAAGAATTTCGAGATTCCAAAACACATTTATTTTTTTCCCTATTTATCTGGTGAGTATATTATTTGGAAAGGTCTAATCTTACTGAGAAAACCAAAACTAGAAAATGTTTAATAATATGGCTTACGTAAAATATTTTCTGCAGAAGTTGTAGCAAAATGAAATTTTAAAAGGAATAGTTATTACATATTTCTATTGCATGGAATACGAAGTATCAGTCTAATCACAGATCTGACTGTAAAATGCGTAATTTAATGTCAAATGATTACGTAAAATATTGGAGTATTATACTAGCATCTATTAGCATTTTAGTAGCAATGGATTCCTGGGAGCTTAAGTCTTCAAATAAATCACTATGTAGTATAACTAAAGGAAAACATTCTGAATCTTTATTATGTCATGGGTTACAAAATTTGACTGAAGTCGAAGACATTCTTCAGTTAGATTTTCATCTGAAGACGGTAAAATTGGTGAAACTGACAAGTTGTTGGGCTGAGAATCTTCCTTCATCTGTGTTCGCAAACTGTACTGTTCTTCAGATATATACAACATGTCCATTCAAAAGCATAGACGAAAGTGCTTTCAGAACTGTTTTCAAACTGAAATCTTTGAATTTAACAAAAGCGAAATTTCCCACAATTCCAAGTGCTATTGGTGAACTAAAATATTTAAAATATCTTTACCTAAATGGTGGAAGCATTACTTCACTACGTTATGAAATTCAGAACATGACAATGCTTACAGAATTATCCTTACAACAAAATGCTGTTACATATATCTCGAAGACGGCTTTTTCCCAAAACAGATTTCTTCAAGTTATCAATTTGTCAAAAAACAAGCTGACGGTACTTGACCCCGGAGTATTTGATGCTTGCGCAGGATTGCAAAAAATAGACCTGGAAGCAAATCTGCTGCAAACTGTCAATGGCCTGTTCAATAACGGAAATTTAAAGGTAAGAATTTTGTACCAATCCACGTTGTAGAAATAATAAGGCAGCAGCACAACATAAATTGCCACCGTTTATTAGAAAACAATCACTAATGCATGAGCAAATTTAATTCACGCTTTCCCAGTTATTGAAAACTTCTCATTTTTACAAATAGTGTAATTGTTTATCAAATTTTATGTTCTCAAAGTTATGTAACCATTAACTTTTTAAGATTCTAAAGGTGGTTTGAAGAGTTTTTATTTCTGCATCTGTTTTGCAGAACTCGGGGTTTCATGCAACACCTCTTATGATTCAGTAATACAAAATCAGAATTTAAAAGGGTTTTTGAATACTATACGGACTGAAATGCTAAACATTAAAAATAATTAATTAAATAATATTTTTAATTTTATTGTTATTTGTTACTTAAAAATATTGCGCAGATTTAATTTTTTATGGATTAATTTTAATAGTAAAATTAGAATGAATTAATGATATTGTAAGGTATATTTTAATTTTATAACAGTTATTTTTAATTTAGAAAACCTTTCCTATCAATTCTTGTTTCCACTTACAACTTCCTACCAGAATGAGTTTTTAGAATCGCATTGAATGCAAATGAATTAGAAGAAGTATTTAAGGAAAGTTCAACTTAGGTTACAGAGTGCTAGGAATCCATAGTAGCACGTGTTTCCCTTTGGGTTAAGGGAACTCATACACCTTAAACCCCTTATGATCTTCGAATATATGACTGTTGCAAGAATTGGGATATTTTATTAATTTTAAAAGCATTTATTTTAAAAGCAATTACTGCCAACGTTTTACAGCTGACTACATAATATAGCTGCTTTGGGAACTAGTAACCAGAAAGTTTGTGTTGCCACAAATATTTTTGTAATTTAGTCCGCTTTGTGGCAAAATTTTTCGTCATATTTGTACCTTGCGCGCATGATATTTTAAAAATGGCTTATAGTACATATTTGAAATTTTATGGAATTCTTTATATGGGCACTATATTCTAACTGAACCCAAAATCTGATGAATATTTTAATATTAAAAAATTTTACGTACGAAAACATAACAGATTTTTTTTAACAAAACACATTTTATAAACTCAACTCCAAGTAAAATACAAATTTAACATGAAATTCTTAGAACTTTTGGTTCACAGTAGTTTCCAAATGTTATAAAAGCTATATATCAAATATGGAATTAAATTATGCAACAGAATATTTCAAACGGAGCGCGTAAGGTGGAAACATGCCGAAAACATTTGTCACAAAGCGGATTAAATTATAAAAAATATTTGTGGCAACACAAACTGTCTGATAACTATTTCCGAAAGCAGCTATATTATGTAGTCAACTGTAAAAAGATGGAAGTAGTTGCTTTTAAAATAAATAAGTTATCTCAACTCTTGCAACAGTCACATATTCGAAGATCTTATGGGTTTTAAGGTGTATGAGTCCTCTTAAGTCTCTTAAGAAGCTGTTACGTTCGGCCGTATTATTACGTGCCTTTTGATATTCGCCGGCTAGTATAAATTAAGGGCTAACTACGTTAGCCTTTAATCAGTCACTAAGTCACAGTCGGCTAAGTCATCTTTAGTTAGTTATAGTTTCTTATTTCTTATTTTGAGTTAGAGTCCGAGTGGAGGCTTCCTGTAAGCCTGAGAAGGGGCCGTTATATATGCATATACATATATTTATATATTTTCGGTGCGGCCGATTGCAACGAAAAAGTGTGGTGCACAGCAACGTGTTATAGCAGTCCCATGTACAAAATTTGAGCGTTCTGTGGCTACTCGTTTTTTACTTATGCGATATACATGCATACATACCTACATACATACCTACGTACGCCCATGCGTACAGAGGTTACGAAAAAATTCTATTCTGAACCCATTTTAAATCCATTTGAAAACCGTTTTGGGAGAAAGGGTCGTTTTCTATCCGTACGTACATATGTAAAAGAAAAACATCGTTCAAGTAGAATCGAGAGCGGTCAAAATGGATATTTTCGTTGCAATACGATACTCGAAATTTTTTGCGATTGCAATACTTCCCTTACTTCGTACAAGGAAGTAAAAAACGTAGAGAAAGTTAACTTACTATGATATTATTTTACCATAAATTATCGCTATGTCGGAACTTACGCGCTTATTTAAGAAAGAATTCTTCATTTAAGACATACCTGGACATTTTTATCATTGGAGCGTGTAAGGTTTATTATGATTATTTCCTTCAAATGGCAATGCTTTTAATTTTTGAAGACACCAAATCTGGTTCCTGAAAAGAGCACTTTTTAACTGGAATATGGTTTGTTTTTTGTGCTCTTAACGCTTCGCTTAAAACTCAAAGCCATACTGCATAACAAATGATATTTAAGTTAAAGTCTGTGTGCATATCGCCTATATCTTATTATCTAAACAAAGTGATATTTAGCCACAGTGAAGAATGAAATTTAAATATGGTTTATCTCGTTTTTACAAACTTTGAAATCCTGTGATATTAGTGATGAAAACTTAAAAATTTGTTTAAATACGGTAAGAATTTTAAACTAATAGCCGATGCAAAATTAAATTTGTGTAATAGCAGTGGTATGATCCTGGTCTAATGATAGTACAGTAACAGCATTGACATTCTATGACTGAAATACGCATATTACATGTTTGTTTCTTTGTACAAAAGTAGAGGAAGTATTGTAATCACGAAAAATTTCGGTGTATCATATTTCAAGAAAAATTTCCATTTTGACCGCTCTCGAATTCATCTGAAAGATGTTTTTGAGTGATATCTCCATGTATGGACAGAATAAAGGACTATTTTTCCCCAAACGAATTGTAAAATGGTTTGAAAAGAGATGTTTCTCGGGACTTCTGTATGTAAGTACGCACGTATATATATGTATCTCGCATAACTCAGAAACGAATAGCCTCAGGACGTTGAAATTCTGTATGTGGGATTGCTATAGCATGCAGTTGGGCACCTCTCTTTTTGTTGGAATCGGTAGTCCAGCACCAAAAGTATATATATATTTACGGTACATATATTTTTCCAATGGCGGGCAATTGTCAATAATGGCATTCGCCACTACTAAGAAGTGGTGGCCATTTTTATTGTGGAGGTGCCTAATAGGCGGCCACCATTACCTTCTATGAAGGAACAGACAAGTTTTTATATCCATGCCTTCTCCGGGATTCGAACCCGGGCCCTTCGATATCGCAGTCAGCATTCCCTAGACACTATACCGTCTTGGCGGTATATATATTACCCCTACTCTGTTACTTGACTAGTTGGCTAAGTTTTTTTTTATTCTTATTGTAATAATAAATGGTGTGATCGTATAGTGGTGTTAAATGTAAAAATGAAATAGAATTAAGTGTAGTGAATTAGAGTTCCTTGAGCACCAAAAATAGTCACTTGGCATTTTTTGAAATAAAGGATTAGCAAATGTAATTCAAATGAAATGCTTACTTAGTAAATTGCGTTGTGTAGCAAATAACCCATAAATACTTACCAACGTGCAGATCAAAATGTGTGATCTAGAAGGAAATATGAAATCAAAGTACTTACCCCCAAGGTATGACAACTGTATGTTACCAAATCAATTAAATTTTATTCTTCATCTTTGATATTGAAATAAGCATTAATATAAATAAAATTATCAACCAGACAGACGAATAAATTTGAACATCAAGCACGAGTGATGCGCATCACCAGAATTAACGTTGCACTCAATAAAGTCAATCTTTCTCCATCAGCTCGAAGCAAAGTCATAGTGTAAAAGGAACAATCAAATTTTGATGGCAGTCATTAAGCGTACTTTATAAACCGTAGTATTTCTGCTTTTTCTTCTTTAGATCAGGAAGTTTCAGATTTCACAAATACGTGCTGCGAAGATTTCTCAAAAGGAGGAAGAAGCCGAACAAAAATTATTTTCTGCTATAATGTACAGGGAACAGGAGTAATTATTTTCTTGAATCTTCATGTAAAAATTTCACTATAAAGGATTTTCATGTATAGCAGACAGAATCGAAGGAAACGCAAAAAAAAAGCAGGAAAATTGGCACATCGCATCGGCCAGGGAGAGGACAGACCGAAGCCCGTCCTCCCCTCTCAAACGCCAGCAGCAGAAGAGAGACAAACCGGTTGTTGCAATTTTTTTCGTGTTGACCTTGAGCGGTTGCGGTTAGCACACTTGAGGCTGAATAATGTGGAGGCTTGCCTGCACACTTATATGTTGGTAAATTGTGCATTTTTTGCTTTAAAAGTGATGGAATTATGTTGCTCTTATGTTCCGGTTAAAGTTTTTGTGTGCCTTTAATTAATCTACATAAAATAGCTGTAGAATTATCGACAATTTAAAAGTTGTTAAAGTGCTAATAAGCCTAACGAAGCCGCCATTTGTTTACATTTAAACTCGTAGTAGAATAGTGAATCAAGTCAGTTTCTGCACCAACTTCAGTGTCTTTTTGCTGAGTGAGACCCAAAATAAACTTTCAGTTTTGTGCACCGAAAGATTGATCTTCCTGTCTGATGGGCGAAATGCTTGTTTTTGAGTTGAAATTCGAATTTTAATCGCAAAAATGTTTTTATCTGTTTGGTGTTGTATGTTTTCTGTATTTTCCAATTTGTAAAGACGGTGTTTTGAGTTTTTACGTATTTTTGCTTTGCCGCGAAGTGAGAACTGAATTGATTGAAGGAGAAGTATACTTCTAATGAAATTCGAGGAAGCAAGTTTAAATGAAATGCAACAAAAAATGTGTGTAATTTAATAACCGTATAAGGAAGCCACATCAGATTTTTAAATTAAGATTTCGATTTTTTATTTTACAGCTTTTTGAGTAGCTCTTTGAAAGATATTGTTGTATTTAAATGCTTCACTGTATTTAAGCGCATTATGTGTCAAATCATACTGCATTTTAATAATTATATACACTGCATTTCAATAATTATACGTACATATAAGCATTACAATAATTATAGATGCATATTACATAATTATACAATGTTTTGACATAC